TTAGTCTGCTGTACAAGTGTAAACATACAAGGAACACTGTTTCCTAATGCATTGACTGCAGTAAGAATTGTCACAAGTGTACCTCTTTCACCCGAGGTTATCGCCCCCACTTGCTTTACACCTTTTTGATGAACTTTGGGGCATGTTGTTACAACCTTGGGGCATGTTATTACATGCTGTAACAACATGCCCCATATCGACATGGGGTATAACAATGTCTCCATACTAATTCAGCGTCAAACAACATAACTCAATGTTATCGTATATTAAGAGGTATTAACTATCGAAGTCTACAATTAATAAGAACAGTATCAAAACACAGTATATAAAGAGTAAATAGATATTTCCTAGACATTTTTTTTAGTTTAGGTATGCAAAAACAGAAAATGTTCATACCTTTTTTATTTCGTGACTGATCCTATTCATACCGCCATTAAAACAAAGGTTGCGCAACACGTGTTCGATGGTCCATGAACAATCGTCGTCTATTAATCTCAAGAAGAGCTAGAAGCACTGTATCGACTTGCCCCTGTAACAACTAGCCCCGGTCTCCCCTATATATATATATCGTTGAGCTGTAGATATGTCTCTCAAAAATACGATACAATCTGTACGCTCATTCATAAAGGTGTCTTCCTACACCAAAATTAAGCAATCATCAAAATTACCATGTCGTTCTCCTCTTTCCCACCCAACAGGAACTTGTCGATAAGAGATAGACATCTTATCTCCCCTATGAAGAGTATGAACACCCAATGACATCTCTGGCAATTTAGCCATATCAGCAAATCTCAAACGAGCTATGCGATCAGTTGTGGGGCTGAAACAATTCTTTTCTAACATAACAAGGCTTATAAAGTATGTTCGTTATCGTTTGGTCACTAGTAATAATTGAAATTGCTGTCCTAAATTCAATATCGAGTCCACGGACAATAGATTGGTGATTCTTAATGGACACATTGTGCAGGTAGTGGTCATTATATGATGTAGCTGTTCTTTTACTATCTTGCTCCAGGTTGTTTAGTTTACAGACCAGTTATCTCCCAGTTCATCCATAACCTTCCCACTATGCTCTCTATTGTGAATCCTTATTCCTGCGTTCTTACAGTTTTAAACAACTGAAAACTCTTCTTATCACTAGTTGGAAACATTGCCATATAATTATACAGAAACAATAACTAAAATAATAGCTTATAAGTTGTAAAATGACCAAATGTATAAAGAAATTGGTGAGTACCGTCTTTCTAGTGCACATAGTAAATACAAAATGTGTCGAAAATGGTAAAATGTATCTTCACATACTATTTTGATCCACGTTGTTGTTGTTGCTTTTTCTAATGACCTCTGTTAAGAGTTTTGTTCAAAGTTCAAAGTGGTTAAAGTATTAGAATATACCTTATGATAACTTACTACCAACAAATCATTCTATTTTTTTTTAATAATAATAAGAAATAACTAGATTTAAACATCCTCTTTCAGGATAGATCGGTCTTGTTACGTCAAGTAAATCCACTGCTACAGGATTTTGCTGACTGGTTTTCTTCTTCTATCTTGTGCCAAATACAACACTACATTGTTTGTTTTTATGGAGGATTTTTTTTCTAATTTTAGCGTCTAAAAAAACCTATGCATAGCTGTACCTTGTAGTGAAACGAAGGTGCGCATGACTAAATCCAGGCAAAGTAAAATGAAAAAACAACAACCAAGGCCTCTCAGAAACGAAAGGTACAGGTTGAAATGGGAGAGCTTAAGCAATTTTTGAGAGATAGAATACTGCGGAATTTTGGGTAATCTTAGACGTTTTCGGATGTGAAAGAAGTAACAGGTTCACAGTCATTGTAATCAGACGTCCAAATTGCGAAGAAGTTCAATAGGACACGTTGTTCAGACACGTTGAGCTACAAAATCGAAAAACCTAAATCGAAATTTAAAGAGAAACGTTAACGAATATCTGGTGTGGGTACGTTGTGCGCATGTTGAATAAAAAAAGATTGCTTTCATTATGTCAAAAAGACAGATGATCCGCTTGGTAGGAGGAAGTCCGTGGGGTTTCCAGTTACAAGGCGGAGCAAAAACTGGGCGCCCATTAACAATTCATCAGGTAAAATACCTCTAAGATATATAAGGCTCAGCATTAATCTTTTCAAATTAAATATAATACAATCTACATAAGCCACTAATTTAAAGTAAGACTGTCATGTATAACATTATACATTTTCTTCTGTGTCTACAGATTTTTTTAAATATCTTACATTATAACGACACAGAAGAAAATTACATATTTCGCAAAAACCAATATTGTTATAGAAAGCCAAATTACTATCAAACAGTTATAGCTATAATATTCTAAATACATAAAAGAAATATTATCAGGGGTACTGTTTGTGATCTTCATTTTTTGTGTGTGTGAATTTTGGTAAAGTAAATTGTTTCCATAGTAAGATCTTTCTCTGAGCAATGTGTGAATCAAAACGTTGTCCACAAGTAATGTTACTAATAATTTCAGATTTTCAAGACAGTTACTAGTAATTTTAGCAAGAAGGTAGCAGGTCAAGTTTCTAAAACGGTCACAAGTAAGAGTAGTGAGCATTTCGTGGGTAATTTTTTAATTACTAGGAATGTAACAAATACAAATAATGTAGAGAGTAAGATTATTACCATCATAAATAAAGTTAGCCAGAATGTCACAGGTAAGGTTAGTAAGAAAGTCACGAGTAAGAATGGTAAGATGCCCATGAGTTTAATTAGTAAGATAGTCACAAGTAAGGTTAATAATAAGTTCACTTGTAGGGTTAATACACGAAACATTGGTAAGATTGTCATGACTAATATTAACAAAGGTAAGATAGTTGCAAATAAATTAAGTAAAACAGAGTAAGGTTAGTAAAACGTTTACGAGTAATATTAATAGGATAGTTACAAGCAAAGTTAGTAGAAAAGTCACAAATAAAGGTGGTAAGATGGTTACAAGTAGGATTAGTAAAATGGTCTCGTGTTAGCTTAGTAAGGCTGTCACAAGTAAGAATAGAAAGATGGTTACAAGTAGGATTGCTAAAAGGTCTCGTGTTATCTTAGTAAGACTGTCACAAGTAAGAGTAGAAAGATGGTTACAAGTAGGATTGCTAAAAGGTCTCGTGTTATCTTAGTAAGACTGTCACAAGTAAGAGTAGAAAGATGGTTACAAGTAGGATTAGTAAAAATATCACATGTTATCTTAGTAAGACTGTCAAGTGCTATCTTAATGAGACTGTCGCAAGTAAGAGTAGAAAGATGGTTACAAGTAGGATTAGTAAAAAGGTCAAGTGCTATGTTGTTGAGACTGTCACAAGTAAAAGTGAAAAATGGTTACAAGTAGGATTAGTAAAAAGGTCAAGTGTTATCTTAGTAAGAAACATTAGCGAAAAAAACAGTAAACATCAAGTGTTGAAAGAACATTTCGACACATTGCTAAACCACGAAGAGTCTCAACATGTGAATACTAGATGTACTTCCACGGGGTCCCCGAAAGTGTTCTGTTTTAAGAGTAAATAAAATCAAGATTAAGAGTAACAAATATTTTTATTTCTTGCATATATTATGCTGTATGGTAACCTACAGAGTGCATAATTCTTCTCGTGATTCATGGCAAGAGCACGTTTTACTGATGTCACAATGGTACAAATTATAACGTTAAGCAATCCTTATGTGACGTCATTTTAGTGTCTACTGACTCACTGGCAGGCAATACACTACTGTATAATGGTGCTAGTGGCTAAAACAGGTGACCCCTCCAGGCGGCCTTTGGCCTCCTTTTGAGGAAATAATAACCCCACAATGGATTGGAGACACTCGGGTAGTAGATGTAGACCTTGAGAGGAATTCAAGTGAAGAAAGAAGAAGTTAAGAAAGCCATAGAACAGATGACGAATGACAAGACGTCAGGAGTTCATAATTTGCTTGTAGAGCTTTATAAGTTTGGTGAGAGGAATTAACGAAATAGCTAAGCGGAGTGATACAGGCTGTGTGGAGGAATAAAAATAGCACCGGATGATTAAAGCAAGACTGTTATCGTGCATTTACACAAGATAAATAACAGAAAAGAAAGCAATGATGTAAGAGAGTGAAGTTTAGTAAGTATAGCGGGCAAACTTTTCGCAGAAGTCATGTTCACCAGAATAACTGGCATCATGGAGAGGGAACTGTGAAACAACCAGATATATTTTAGAGGAATGAGGTGATGCTGCGACCAGGCATTCACAATCAGGCATATGATAAAAAGAAATATAAGTTGGCACAAGATCTGTATATCCACATTGTTGATCTCAAACAAGCATATGACTTGGGATGGAAAAAAGAAGAACTGTGTTGCGTGCTAATAAGCTAAACTAGAAAATACGAGCTCAGATTGTACAACTTACCTTAAGCTGGTATCGAGGCACTAGAGCGTGTGTGAAGATGACAGAAAAAAGGTTAGACTGGTTTGAAGTAAAGACTAGCGGAAGACAGTGATGTATTAAATGTTGTTCTGACCCACGTAATGCACATAAATGGACAAAAAAGCTCAACGAGAAAAAGGTGTAAGAATGGAAAACACCATGATCCGAGACCTAGAACATTGAAAGACTATATAGCATTGCTTGCATTATCTATCATGGCACTAACCACTCTACCTATTAATTTCTGACATGAATCTGTAAAATTCGGCGGGAAAATGAATGTATCAAGTCAGAATTGGTGAAATTTACAAGGAATAGGATATATGCAGAGAAGGTTTTTGAACCTGGAAATGAAAGGGTTGAGAAAGTTTACCGTTTTGTGTATTTGGAAAATGAGTTAGTAAAGAAAAGTGTGAGTGATGTAAAAGAGCGGCGGATACTAGCAGAAGTAATGTTTAATACCTTGAATGTGGAAACGAAGAGGTGTCAGCGTAACGACCAAGAACATATGTAGTAGCATTAGTGGCACTGTTTGGGGCAGAAATTTGGACAAAACAGCAGGGACAGAGATTGGATCGTTTCCGTAGATGCCTAAGATGGTTTCTAAGAAAAAGTTGGCAACAGAGGGCGACAAACACATACGTAAGAAAAAATTATTGTATAAAGGAAATTCAGTAAAATGGCAGAGGAACGGTATTTGATCTAAACTAGATATGTATAGACGATGGAAGAAGAAAGTTTCTTAAAAAAGATGAAGAGATAGCAATTCCATGGAAAGAGACTAAGAGGTAGGCCAAAAAATAAGGTGGTTAGATGGCGTGAGAGAGAAGGCGAGAAGGAGAGGACTGCAATGACATCTAAAGGACCTGACACAGGGCAAATCAGCGAGAAGAAGAAAAATCAAAATAGAGGACGCATAAAAAACTGGCGGACTCGCATGACTGATTAACTGAAAGAAGTGTCAAGTAAGATTATTAAGATGACCATAGTAAAGTTATTATGAAGGTCATGGGTAAGGTTTAAAAAAATAGTTACAAATGAGTTAGCAAGAAAGGTCATCAATAAGTTTAGAAAAATCACAGGTAATGTTAGTAAGAATAATACTTATAATTTCAATAAAAATATTTCATGAAAAGGTGAAGCTAGTAAGGTTAGAACAAAGTCATAGGTAAGATTTGTAAGATTGTCAAATACAAAATTAGTAGATGATCATGAGTATGTTAGGAAAAGGTCGTAATAAGATAATTACAGATTTAGTGAGTAAGTCACATTTAAGGTTAGTAAAATTAGTAAGAATGTCACTAGTAAAGTTAGTAATAAATAAGTTTAGTAAGATGATTACAAGTAAAAATATTAAAGTCAAGAGTAAGATAGCCCACATAAGATTAGCAAAAATGTCTCTAGTAAACTTAGAAATGTGGTTACAACTAAATTTAGTAGGAAGATTACGAGTAAGGTTAGAAATAGGGTCACAGAGTAAGGTTAGGGAAAAATCGCAAGTAACGTTAACAGGATAGTTACAAGCAAAGCTAGTGTAAAGGTTACGAGGGAAGTTAGTAAGATGGTTAGTAAGGAGGAACAGTAAGATGGTTACAAGGAGGAACAGTAACAAGTTAACAAAAAGTTTTAGGACGAATATAACAAGCAAAATTAGTAACAAGTTAAAGAAAAGCTCTAGTAAAAATGTAACGAGTAATTTTACAGTTGATTAAGAATTAACAGTTGTTGCTTATTGATTTGTAAATTTTAGAAATAAATGCACAAATTATTATTTTACTTTTAATATTTCTTACTGTCTGAAAACATAACTATCAGTGAAATATTTCAGTCTCGAAAAGTATTCATGTTGATATGTCAAGTAATAAGCAGGATATAAATAATTATACAGCACCACGTGTTTCAATCTGCATTCGAAAATAAACCAGGCAGTGGGGAGTGTTGTCTATTTATAATCGTGGCAGGGAAAGATTCAAAGAAAAATAGCAAAATAAAACTGGTTTTGTTCTTATTGAGAAGAGAAAATATCATTTAGCCCAAATGATTTTCAGAAAGTTCACATCTTTATAAACCGTGAGCAAAATATAACTCATAAAGACGGTTATTTAAAAATTAATACGAATAAAATAATTTATTCTTATCTAATGGGTAAGATTTTTCAAGAAGTTTACGTCCTTAAAGAATGTATGCAAAACATAACTGATGAGAAGGTTATTAAGAAGAACGGCGAGTTGTCTTTTGCTCTGCATAGAGAACGTGTATTTATATAGGATTTGAAGAATAGTAGCACTGATACTACTAATCTATTCCTGTGAATTATTCAGCAAACAAGCTGTTTAAAATACTTTTAGGGTAAGGTTGTCAAGAAGTTTAAGGATTAGGTCACAGTGACTGCTATTCACTCAAACCTTTGACAAATTGAGTAGAAGGTAGAGAATTTCAGAATTTAAAACTGATGAATTTTTTCTCTCTCTCTCTCTTTCTTCCTTTTTTTTTATTTGTTTTACACACGGGCATACTCAATTAGTGCGTAGATATTAATATAATATAGAAAATAAAACTGAAATCTGGAACATATTTTGCTCCAATGTTTTCCTGATAAAGAATAAAACATGAACTACCAACTTAACCTTTAATATTTCATAGTTATCATTTTATAAGTTCAGCTTCAGACACATAATTTTATACT